TAAAGTAAAACTTAATCGAAAATCGGTAAAGTTACTCACTCTGATTGCTGTCCATGTCGTCCATCTTTAGTGATCCAATTCGGTAGGTGGCGCTGTTACAAAAGAATAGGGTCCTAGAACTGCGGTCCTGAAACTGCAGCCTCCGGTTGTGCAGGAACATACTATTGGAAGAGATCTGGAAGAGAGGCGTAGCCTACGCACGTGTTTTTGTGCGCACGTTCGTTTTCTATGAATCGCAGGTATGCACTTTCGAGAAATGATCTTAGAACAAATTTAGGACGATTTATACGCAACATGTTATAAATGAGGCCCACGGTGACGTAAATGTACGTAGTTTATTTAGCAACTTTGGAGCCCCCAAAAGTTAAGTGGAAGTCCCACCTTTTTGTGCACGTTAAACTTACTCCCAGAACCGACAGACGTTTAAGTGGGAGCGTGGATAAGAAACAGAAGCCATTCGCTTTATTAGAATTCAGTGAAACATTAGAATGATTTTGAAACTGATATTTCAAGGTTAAAAACCCCTACATACAGTTGCTTTAAAGGCACAGTTTTTGTCCTCTGTTGCTGAACACTTTAACTTTTTGAATAAAGTAATCATGCCAAATTAATTATGACTGCCATATTGGCCTGCACAAGATAAATAATGCACTATTTAACAAGTATTACATTCCTCTAGGTGTCAGCATCAGTTATATGTAAAAGGCAGCTGAAAGAAAAGCTCAATAATGAGCCTACACATATTATATTACATAAACACATAGGTTCATTCTCAATGTTCAACCAGTCCTGGCACACATTTGCTTTTAAAATGTTAAGCAGCTCAGTGACCTGAGTAAAGTCTTCTGGACATTTATTGTTCAGAACATGGTACCTGTGGCCACACTTCCTCAGGATCTCCTGCAAAGGTTCACCGTTCTTTTGAATGTGCGTTTCAATACTCCTGTCTCTTAACTCATCGCCCCACATGAAGAGCACCAGAGTGTGTGACCACACCATGTCCCCAAGAACACCCAGATATTTCTCCATAGCACGTCTGTCCCGCTTGCTGAAAGAGTCCACTGGGACAACGAGGAGAAATATGTGATATCTAGGAGGGGCCAATATCACACTGTGCAGGATCTCCTGTTTCACCAGTCTGGCGTCAGCCAAACCGAAGAGACTCCAGCCCGGAGTGTCCACTACAGCAAGCCTCACGCCGTCCACCCAGCCAAATCTCCTCACACACCGAGTCGTCTTCTTCCCGGGCTCAAACTCACTGCGTCCGAGGATGAGGTCTCCCACTGAGCTCTTACCAGCATGTCTTCGACCCAGCAACACAAGTCCAATCAAAGGTAAGGTACATTCAGATGCTCACAATAAGCAGATCAAATTAATATTAATGAAAGTAGCATTGTTAGAAAACACTCTCTGTCTGATATGCCTCACCCCTCCTTTTTTCCCCTCTCTCTTATTCCCCCTCCTTTCCTTTTTCTTTCCCTCTCCCTCTCACTCTCCCTCCTGTATCCATTTCTCTCTCTTGTATTATGTTTTAAATATCTCTTACTCATATTCGAGGTATGCATGCTTAAATGTATACATTAGTTGCTTGGTTCAAATGCCCAAATAAGGAGATGAATGCTGAACTGTGAGGAGGGTTCAACATCCTTGGCCAGGAAGTCTATTCCTAATATGTACATGTTTTTCTGTATATGTGGCCATTTTATACAAAACACATGTTCTTGGCCAAACATCCTATATGTGTATGTCATTCTATCCTCATTGGTTAAGAGGGTGAAACTCCCCTCGACATGCCTATATAAGATCTGTATTTCTATGAATAAATTGAAGTATTGAGAATACATTTTAATGTGTGTTTTCTTACTTCCCGGCCGTATTTACACTTTAGGAGACTGAGAAGATTTCACGGTGGCAAAGAGAATTTACAGAGGGACCAAATTGTTATTTATTAACAAGCATAATTTCCTGTTTCTGTCTTAAGGCTTTATTTTTTAACCACACATACCTTGTCAAGTCATTTAACACACTGATCGAGTTCAAATATATCTCAAGTGTCCATCAACTTACCATATGCTGTCTCAGTGCTCACTGCCATTCTTCAGTCCTTCACCCCAGTAAGCCACTCTTTACTTTGTCACATATATCCGCTTACCTGTTTGTTTTGAGAACTTAATTCCATTTAACACGGTGTTTTCAAAGTTTAAAAGTTCACTTCTCAGTTCTGTATTAAGTCATTTAGAGTGTGACGTACATGTTATGACAGGGAAGTGTCAGTCAGGTCAGTTTAGTAATAGAAATATTATAGCCTATAATGATTCAGAAGGCTGTGTGGGTACAAACTTGGGTCCCATCACTTTTTTTGTAAAGCAATAAAGGGACAAATCGTGTTCTTTAGAGGTACTGTTATGAGATAAGTTGTATAAGCTTTTATCTAATATAAAATAACTTAGCATGGTAAGTTAATAGATTTCTCTCACATACCTTAAAAATATTGATTTTGGTCTGCCCCACCTCAGAGGTCTCGACCTTATTGACTGTATTGCTGAAGCGTGGACTGTATTTATCTGCAACCATTCCAAGCCATTACCCAAATTATTTAAAGAATAAATTATCCAAAAAATATATTTAATTATAAGAGATGTATATTTAACCGTAAATACAAGGCTGAATTCACAACCATGTTACCCATTATATCAATATATATATACAGGTGCATCTCAATAAATTAGAATGTCGTGGAAAAGTTCATTTATTACAGTAATTCAACTCAAATTGTGAAACTCGTGTATTAAATAAATTCAGTGCACACAGACTGAAGTAGTTTAAGTCTTTGGTTCTTTTAATTGTGATGATTTTGGCTCACATTTAACAAAAACCCACCAATTCACTATCTCAACAAATTAGAATATGGTGACATGCCAATCAGCTAATCAACTCAAAACACCTGCAAAGGTTTCCTGAGCCTTCAAAATGGTCTCTCAGTTGTGTTCACTAGGCTACACAATCATGGGGAAGACTGCTGATCAGACAGTTGTCCAGAAGACAATCATTGACACCCTTCACAAGGAGCCACAATGTGAGACAGGAAGCATTTTTAAGGAAGCGTGGGTGGGAGGGAGGTGAAGAAGCATGAGTGAGGTAGGAGGTGGAGGATGGGATACAGGAAAATCACAGCAGCTAGCAGGTGGAATGGAGCTCTGCTAACATGTTAACTGTCAGGATCACTTCCCTGAAAGCTAATGTACGCTATATACCTTTGGGAAATCTACTGGTACTCTCTACACAGTCATGCAAAAGGAAAGAAAGAGCAGGAGGGGAAGTAAAGCAAGTACCTAGAGTCGTTATACGTGTACCATTCCCCATTTTCAGGATTGCAACAGTACGCTGTGTAGTGGCCTCCCATAGTTGTGCCTGAGTGATTGGACACTGCATACAAGTTATATACTGCACTACCTGAAACAGAAAAATACATAAATATTCAGGCTGGAACTAAATGCAAGATACAGTAGTTTGTGAAAACCTTTAAACTATAACCAGGCCCAAAATACATCAGGACTCTTAGTTTGAAATGTGTGTTTTATTACTTCTAGCTGGTCTTTCAAAAAGATGAGGGAGATAAAATATGCACTTTTACAACATCACTACCCATTACAATGTAAACACCATAAAGTAAACATTTTCATAATTCATTAACAGTACATGACTAAGCAATCACTCAGTATAAATGCATGGTGTTATATGACAGTAAACTGCCCTGAAACCGCAAGCATATAGAACGTACAAAAGCACCACATATCTACTTTTAATATTTACAAGGAGCCACTTCTCAACAATTACTGCGTCTCTATACCCAAATTCAAGACCACCTAAAATTACATTTAAAACTTCCGCTGTACAATTGAATCAAATAATTTTTTTAATCTATTTATAAAATGAAAACCATTATTTATTTAAAACAAAACCTAGACCCTTACTGCTACAGGATATGATAATCACAAGGGTCTTCAACTAAAATTGCTTGAGGTCCAGTAATGAACCCTCCTCACCAGCCGAGGTCCGGACAGTTATACCGGTATACCTAAAAACATGAATTAACGGTTTTTGTCAGACCAGTGTATCTGCAGGATATTTAAGGTAAAATTTAAGACTTTTTTTTAAGACCGGCACAAATAAAATTAAAATGACTGTAAAAAGCATGATTTACAGTTCAGATTTGTGAACAATTTCACATAAATAAATAAATAAAGAAAATGGAGTCGAAACTATCAATTATTATATTAATTTAAACAACTATTATCAATCAATTACTATATTAATTAAAGAACATATACATATATTTTACTGTCTTAATTGTTTAAATTTTTATAATGAATTATCTTCTTGTCGATTTATCAGTTCACATTTACAACTCCGCGTGTTTGCGGAGTAAGAACATGGGTCGATTTTCACATAGGTTCTGAACAAAAACAGCAGACTGGCTTATTTAAAATGCCCATTCATTCTCTGCAAGCAGGTTGTGCTTTCGGAATGGCAGAAATCAAGCGGTTTCCCTGGTAATCAGTAGCCCCTCACTGCAGAACACAAGATACAGGGGGCGTGGTTGGATCCACATCTAGGGGGTGGAGACTGGTAGGTTTAGGGGTGGATATGGGTGGGTTTAGGGATCAGGGGTGGGAGATGGGTAGGTTTAGGTATATGTAAGGTGGGAGGAGTTGGATCTGGATCCAACCACGCCCCCTGGATCTTGTGTTCTACAGTGAGGACCATCTCCCGGTAATGGCAGTACACAAAGCAGCACAGCACCTGACTTTGAAACGTGCAGTGCTCATATTTATTTAATGAAATCACAGCCTTTTGAAGTTTAATCATCACATTAAGCCATATTGCAATTCTTGTCTTTCCATCCCCAAATTTAAGACCTTCTGAAATCATAATTAAATTTCTTGTACCATTTAAGACTTTTTATGGCCTTAAATTTGAATCAACTAAATGTAAGACTTTTTAAGGACCCCTCAACTTTCCTAATTTTTGAGAATGCCATTGTTTTTCACTCAATGAAAGTTTCATCTGTCTGTGCGCCGCTTTCTGCTCTCTTCACTGCACGCACGACCGCACGCCTGAACGTAGCAACAGTTAAAGGGATAGTTCACCTTCAGTTGCTGGTCCCCATTGACTATCATAGTATGGGAAAAAAACACTATGCAAGTCAATGGGGACCAGCAACTGAACGTGAACCATCCCTTTAACTGTAGAAGCAACTCGTGGTGCCGTAGGATCGAAACAGCTCTACTGAGCTGACCTTGATGTGCTTGATATAAATTTGATTTTATTAGAAAACAGCATTTGGCATTTATTCATTTCATTATATCAAAAGCTTTCGCAGTCCGGATGGACGCATCCCGCGGTCCAGATTCGGACCGGAGGCTGCCAGCTGGCGACCCCTGTTCTAGACTGTGAAGTAATTTTCTATGCTAAAATCACTATGAACCTTAAGCAGTGACGGATCTTTTTTTTTCTGTACTGTGACATACTTGTTGATCGGATGGAGGCAGATTTGATTGTAAGAAAGGGGAGGCGTTTAAGTGGACTAAGTCTGGCATATACCTAGGCCTGTCACGATAACAACTTTTTGTTGTGCGATATATTGCCACAGAAATAATTGCGATAAGCGATATTATTGTCATTTTAAAGACCATTTTATGCCACTGAATATATAATCATAATGTAACAGCATAATAATGCAAGAAGGCCTACACACTTCCAAATGACATCAAACTTTGAATTTTTAAGAATGTTTAGATCATGGAAATTAAGTATCAAAATATTAGATTCCTTAAAAAATGGAATAAATAGTAAATAAACATTTTCTAACAAAAAGTGCAAAGTAACAAGTAGAAAAAAAGCATTTTTAAATTTGAACTAACACCTCATGACTACACCACGTTATGTAGGAGAAGCTGCAAAAGACACAGGCACAAGTGGAATGTACAAAACATGGTGACGTTAATTTTTAAGTAAATATACTGGGTGATATATTGCATCACCAAAAATTATTGAGGTCATGTACATACAGTGGTGTGAAAAGTTTTTTCCCCCTTTCCTGTTTTTTTAATTTTTTGCATATTTGTCACACTTAAAAGATTCAGATCATCAAACAAATTTTAAACCACTGTATATTGAGTGATAAGTCGATATATTGAATATTGCGATAGGCCTACATATACCAGAGAGAAATTTCACCAGAAGATCCAGTTATGGTATTATATAAGGTATATAAGGTCAAACATTGTTTAAACAAAACATATGCATGGATGAATCTTTCACAATAAGAACTATAACGTTTCATGCCGAGCACAGCTGCACATTCACTCTAGGACTGAAATGGCAGATTCTTGGTCAGTCTTTACTCACTGCTTCTGTCAGAGGCGAACTCCCTGAGGTCCAGGTCTTTCATTGGGAAGTTGACAAAAGTGGACAGTTTGCTGGTTCTGATGCGGGCTTCCGAGAAGCGCTTCAGATCTGAACAAGTCAAGCAGTTAAGGAGAAGAGACTTGGCACACAGCTGACCTCAGAGAGACCCGTCACTTCAGGCTTCAACCTAAGCCATCAGCACATTCCTGCACACATAAACAGCATCCCGATCTTATCTGTGCTTACTGTCAACAAACACACCGATGCCCCAAGTGACATCAAGAGATCAGACGGCATTGGAAAAGGATACGAAGAACTAGTATTTTAGGAAACTTCTGAACTGTAAATTTCTTTGTACATCGTCTTCTGGCTTTGCACCTGTAACATGTCTGGATGAAAGAAAACAGAGAAGAACAATTAGATGTTTCGGTACATATAAATTTCCACATTATTAAAATGGCAGGAAGGAATTAAATGAATTACCGGCTTCTCGTCCCCATCCAGCACATCTTCTTTTGTAAACAGTCGCATGCAGTCCATTAGGCTCACCTCCCCATAGCCCTAATAGGCAGAGGAACACCATTAACACCCACTCATTTCTCTAAATGTCCTAAGTGTGCATTATAAAGCCTGCATGTACATGCACATGTCAATGAACTGACCTTGGCGATAGGTAAGGAAAGATCCCAGAAGGGATCGAACACAGTGGAACAATAGCCACATTCGCTGCAGGTCAAAGAGCTCTTCAGCTGGCCTACAAACAGATCTGAGGACAGACAGAGGCAGAATTATGTTTAGTAATGGAGCACAATGGTAACCCAAAGCTCTCGGATCTGTGTATATTGCAGTGTATATTGTTTGATGAAACTATTCAAAATCATTTTTGTCATTCGAAATAATGCTGAAATAAAATATAAATATTGCACGGAAAACTTTAGAAATGTTTCCTTGGTTTATGTTCAAATACTAAACTTACTAAAACTAATATATATAAAACAAATTCAAAATATAAAAGCATCTTTGATATACAAATAATACTAAAATAACACTAGTGTAGTGTATACTTGCCTACGATTTTGCTGTCTTCTCTCTCCAAGTACTTAGCCCACATCTTTTTCCCTTTTTCCTCATCACTAAAGAAAATTAACAAGACATAAATCATGAAATCACACTCACAACATGTCATTTAAGGACTACCCACACTGAGGAAAATAAGGACAGTACACTTACGGCAAGTGATCAAAGTCTTCCATGTTTCCCCGAGGCCGGACTGTGACCCTGTTCACTTCGTTGTGCAGGCCATCTAGCAGGAAACGCAGAAACTCCTGAGCATCCTGTTGACTTGAGAGATAACATAAACATCTCAATACATAACACAACCACAGCCAGCTACTGATAATCAGGCAATTATATTCATGTATTGGTCGATAATCTGATAAATGTGACCCGTGCTGGCAAAATGACTCGGAAAGAAAAGAATTGGAGGAAAAGATGCAACGTTGCTCTGTGATTTTGCTTTGGAACGTGCTGACTCTATCGACTTCAAACAGGTGTAGCTCGGTCATTTTTCGTCCGATTCCAATAAATCATACATCATTCTGAAGGTCTTTTAATGGAGAATGTGAACATAAAAATAACTCATGTTTAAAAATTTGCTCATTGTGATTCATTTTGCCAGGACAGGTCACAAATATTCAATTAAAACGACATACTATTTAATATTTTCTGAATTTAAAATATTCGATGTGAATGGTGCTTGTCTGTGCAAAACCTGCTGCTATGATACTAAGATGGCCACTTTGAACAGAATAAAACTGCGTGTAGGCTGAGACTTACTTGTAGCCCACAAATCTGGGGGCGTATCTCTGAATCTGTGTTTTGAACTCAGAGGGGCTGACAGCTTCACTGCTTGAAGAAGTCCACATTGTCTGGATAAGCTTGGCAAACTCTGAAGTCATGACAAAGAGAGGCTTTCAGTAAGGTTTGTGGATTATCAGAGAGAAGCAGTGACCGCTGTGAAACCTGCAAGAGTTGTGTGGTGCGAGCGCACTCACCTTCCATGAGAGCAGTGTTTGTGCGGTTGTTGTTGTTGAGGTCTCGGCGGTGGGAGTTGTGAAGACAGTAGTCTCGCAGGCTCTGTGTGTTGCTAAGACACTGGAGGATGGAGTTCATAAAACACTAGCGAGGGAAAGAGACACAAAGAAGGAGAAACATTTCGATTTATAATTCGGCTGGTAATTGATTAAAATTTTTTAAAATTAATTTAATTAATTTAAATAAAAAAAATAAATGAATAAATTACATGACATACTGATTATTTAATAAAATATAAATCTTTATTTTCTAAGTCCCCAAATTAACCACTAAATAGACAAAACAGCAAAGAGCAGGATAAAACATGATATGATTTTATATGATTAAATACAATTTTATTTTTTGACCAAATGCATTTAATATTTATATATGTAATTAAATTATGTATTTAAATTTATATAAATATTTATCTACAAAAATGACACTGTGTATATGCTTACTAAGCAAAAATGAGAAAAGCAAAGGTAGCCACAAAACAAGTGACGCATTAGTCTAGAGTTTCACAGCAGCAGACTTGACTGCGATGTGTAAGAGTTTATTTTTGGACTATACACATACTGTTGCTTGGCAAAAGCAAGTTAAGTGAGTGCGAGTGTGAGGAGACATCATGAAAAATAATCCTGCCAAATGGAAATAAACAGAGGAATGTGAAAGCGATATAAAAACATTTCTGCTTCTTGCTGCTTAGTTGTGTCAACCAGATACTGTGAGATTTGACAGTTTTGATCTATTTCTAGCATGTTGGATGTGCTGTATGCACATAGTATAAATATATACTATATGACAAAAAATGTGTGAATGAGGACATCGGTCAACAGCAAAGACTTTACACACTTCACTGAAGATATGTTTAGGGTTGGGCGATGTCTACCAAATTGGCATCGGACAATGTCTACAGTGAAACATCGTGATGGACGATGACATCGGGGGGCGGGGCGGGGGTTAGAGTGTGCTCGAAGCGTGAAACAAATAATGCGTTATAAGGAGCCACTAAAAGGTTAGCCGCTTGCTAGCGGTAGCCTGTTGCATTACAGTACATGAAAGTTCACTTACCACATACACAGAGTAAGGACAAATGTCTGATAGAATGATGGCGAATGATTTGCAGATCCTGAGCACCAATGACAAACATCTAATCTTGTCAAATGTGTGGTAAGTAAGTTTTAAATTACTTTTTTTCCACATCAATCTACACTCCATACGTCACTATTGACAAAGCAAAAACAGAATTGTCACAACATCGTAAATTTATAAAAAAAAAAAAAAAACTGAAATAAGTACATTGCATAAGCATTCATACCCTTAGCTAAATATTTTGCTGAAGTACCCTTACAGCCTCAAGTCTTTTTTGTTTGATGCGACATGTTTGCTCATCAGCATTTGGCAATTCTCTGCCATTCTTCTCCTCATCTTTTCACCTCTCAAGCTCTGTCAGGTTGGATGGGAGCAAATGCACATTTTCAGGTTTCTCCAGAAATATTTGACTGGGTTCAATCCCAGGCCGAGGCTGGGCCACTCAAGGACATTCACAGAGTTGTCTATAAGCCACTCTTGCTGTGTGCTTAGGGTCATTGTCCTGTTGGAAGGTGAACCTTCTGCCCAGTCTGAGGTTCTGAATGCTCTGGACTATCTCTATATTTTGGTGCATTGAGCTTTTCTTCTACTTTGATGAGTGCCTCAGTCCCTGCCGCTGAAAAATAGCCCCACCGCATGAGGCTGCTACCAGCACACTTTACTTTTGGGATGGTACTCTGCAGGTGCTGAGCAGAGCTGGTTTCCTTCAAACATGATGCTTGGAATTGAGGTTTATCAGACCAGAGAATCTTGTTTCTCACAGTCTGGGGTCCTTTAGGTGCTTTTTTGAATACTTATGGAATCAAAGTTTTTTATTTTTAATAAATTTGCAAAGATGTTAAAAACCTGTTTTTTGCTTTACCATTATGGTGTATGGATTTAAAGCAGTTTAACATAAGGCAGCAACATTACAAAACATGAATAAAATATGAATACTTTCGCAAGGCACTGTAGTCCAGCTCGAAGGTTTGAGCCAAAAATTGACAAAAAAAAGTCCTACAGAATACAAGTACACACTTCACCTATGAGAGCAGCTAGTACATCCTATTAAAAAACACTTACTGTATTTCCCAGATTACGAAGACCCACCAGGCCCTGGGCACTCTTTGAGTTCTGAAAAACAGAGAGGAGACGAAATGTTAGCACAGGTCATAGTCTAGATCAGTGGTTCCCAACCCTGGTCCTGGAGGCACCCCAACACTGCACATTTTGCATGTCTCCTTTCTCTGACACACCAATTTCAGGTCTTGGAGTCTCTACTAATGAGCTGATGACCTGAATCAGTGTTGGGGTGCCTCCAGGACCAGGGTTGGGTCTAGATGACAGCGACTAGTCACACATTTCAAGTAAGCTGTCAAATGGATTGAAATGTTGCTCTCATAAGAAATTTTGCAGGGCAAAAAAGGTCCATTTTAAATAGTAGCTCACACATATTTGACTTTCAGACCTTTCTGTTGTTCAATGTGGCTAATTTAGGTGGCCAACTTAAACACTAATGAAATCTATGTAGGGAACTTTTTTGCCCTCACGCAAAACTGAAATGACTGCATTTCTAAATTCCAGCCAGGATCTTTAAATGTGACCGCACTTCAAGTCAAATCGTTCCAGGAAACGGAGATCTATGTTTCCATACAATCAGTTTTTTTGGTAGAGGTGCTAGAGTGCTAAAGCGGACTGGCCAGTAATCTGACACTATGTTGTTTTCTGTCATGCCAAAGCACGGGAGGGGAAACGTGATCCTCCCTGTGCTGGAACTCTGACGAACTTACCTGGTGCTGGCCAGGATGTTCACACTGACCACATTTGTCCCAACCACATTTGTCCTTTCCTCAGGCATTTCAGAACGACCAAAACAACATATAGATGCTGTGAACGAGATTGGTCCGCTGGTTAGTCATTACTCTGCTGAGTAATATCAACGCTGCCAAAAATAGCATCCTTTCACATGGGATGTCCGCTCATTGGATGATTTGTCATCATCACTGCAACACTGATCCCGGCAGCCATATCTTTTCACAAGATTTTTACAGGCTCTAAACCAAGACATCATATGAAAATCTGCAAATACCAACATCCAACATCATACTGTACTAAAACTGAGAAATCATTATGAACGCCAGATGAGGAAAACGTCCTGCAAGTAGGTCTATTTTAGTTTGTTGTGATTCACTCTGAAGCAGACATCCACTGCTGTGTGAAATGAGACAATAGCTATGTTTCCATCCAAAGATGCAAATGTAACTTATGCGCAAAACTGGAATATCGCATAAAACATTTGCAAATAAAGCACCGTTTCATCCAACAAGTCAAAGAGACCAAATCGTCACTTCCTGATAAACTGGCACTAAACATCTCTAAGAAAACTAGGAGAAGCCACTGAAAATAATAATTTTCATATGTAATAAATTACTTGCACTTCAGAGATAGCAGACGTAACACAATAAATGTGCTCATTGCTTTTAGAGGTGGATGCCTGCTGTTTGGGAACGCAGTCATGTAAGAAAGTAATTATACAGAAATACTTTGATGGCAGACTTTCCTCAGGCATTTCAGAACGACCAAAACAACATATAGATGCTGTGAACGAGATTGGTCCGCTGGTTAGTCAATTTATCCCGTCTCATAGTGCAAAGTCACATGACTTTTTCAATGCGCATGGTGGAATTTATTCGGTAAATGCGTTTCCATCGTAGCTTATGCGCATTTTTTCTTATCGGATAAAAAAATGTATCCTACTCAATTGTGCACATAAGTTTTTTATGCACATTTTTAGAATTGATGCGCATCTTGGCATTCCATCCAGCGGTTTTTTATGCGATAATCCAAAATGCGCATAAAAATAGGTGGATGGAAACATAGCTACTGCTGTTGTTGTTTCTAAAACAGCTTGTGGTTGTTTCTCAATATAGCTGTACATGCAGCTAATAACCTTCTAATAAGTATACAACATTTGAATCACTTGGTCTCAGGGTGAAAAGTGCCTTCGCAAACTCTGGAGGAACCTGTTAAAAGGTTAAGAACACCTGCCCAAATGATATTAGAGTCATATTGAGCATGATGAAAGTACCTATTGAAATTACTCCAGCAAGGCAAAGCTCTCTGTGTGAAGAACTCAAATGCATACGTTTAACAGTTTTACTATTTTCATGTCTAACGAAGAACATAATATAATGACTTGATATGGGTTTTTGCCTTGTACGTTGATACAGAGTGATTTTATGTGTCAAATCCTTGTCTATAACACTCTTTCTCCTCTATTTCTCTGGTGGCCAGAGAATATGGAAGTGGGTCACGGTGTTCTGTTCGGCATTCTCCCAATTACAGAGGTGAGGGAAGACTAATCCTGCTTTTATAACAGCTCACTCTGAGAGGAAAATGTGGAGCAAATATCCAGATAAAACATTCAGACTGGCGGCCTTCAGTAATCAGCATACACTGACCCACATTAATATTAGTTAAAAAGCTCTGTTAGCTGGTTTAAACTGTGAGATTAACCCATCAGGTACTATTTAGAGTTTATACCATCTGTTTTATGTCAACTTTGTCTCCTGTCCTACACTCCCAGCTAAATAATTCCACACATCTTAGCTGTATGCTGGTTGAGGTTTTCCTTGTAACTGTTTAAAAAAGACTATTGAACTCGGACACAGTTTGAAGAACTGAATTTCCCAGGAATACTCTTGCTCCTGTGCCAATTTTTTACCACTATGGCACAGAGGAAAGAATCTGCATGACTTTAACAAGTGCTTGTAATATGGATGGGAACACAGCATTCTGTCCCATGTACCAATGTGTTAAACTAGTACAAAACACTTCATTTGGACCGTCCTGTTTCAGCAAACCAAGATAAAGGCACTGCTGCTACTCCATGTCCTTCACAATCACATTATACTTCACTTGTCACACCTCCAGCTCAAAAAGGGGTGACCGGGGGATGTGACTCACGAAACGTGCATGGAGAGAATCCTGTTTACACACGCTAAATATATGGTGCTAAGGTGCTAAATATATGGGTAATTTAATATGTAAGTGTCCTGATGAATTTCAAAGCACATTCAGTGACGCTTAAACTAATCACGAGGCAGATAATGGAGGCTCAGCAGAAAAGCTGGTACACCAGGCCTAGTCCTGGCCCGGGTGGCATTGGCCGCGGGACTGAGAGCTCTGCCGGGTACAGGAGTGAGCTCTAATGGGATTTCTGCTCATTACGTAACAATGAACAGCCATTCTGAACTGCCTCATGCTTCATTCAACAGCTGCATGCAGGCTGCTGTTGATTTATGTTGCTCTGTTGCTTCACTTCAAAGAAATAGTGAAGTATGCTTTCTGTTAAACCGAATGTAAGGTGCTCTCATCGAAACCTAAACTTTTATTAGAGGATCAAGACCGATAAGACCGATTCATCAATTTATCCCAAAGTGGCACACTGGCATAGACATAACATAGTAGTCAGTGGTTAGAATATGTCAATGCACTGAAACAGCAAATGCAAAAAAGATGAATTTGCATTATATAAGCAGTGACCTGTCAGAATACTGATCCCTTATAAAGGGCGGTAAGTGCAATATTAATGACATCACAGCATGAACTGCTTTTTAAAGATTATTCACCGGGCCTCAATAAGTCTCATTCATGCTTTAACATTTATCCCTTGAAATCAGCTAGCATCTATTTTATGGTACTAGTACTTATTTTTATTGCTACTAATCCAATGTTTTCACTAGTTAGTTAGACACTAGTACTTACTCCAGTAGTAACTATGTATGTATTCAATTAGTCTGTAATATTTGTTTATTGCATACTAGTACTTGCTTTGCTACTGTTTGATATCCCATTAGTCTTAAGTAGCTATTCCATTGGTACTGGTAAGATCTGTGGTTCAGGTTTAAACTATTCACTTATGACTAGTATTATGTATTCCAAGTTATTGGTTATCGATTTCTGAGAGTTATCTATTGCCCTTTTACCAATACTAATTGAGTGGACTGGTGTATTTGTTAGTTAATTGTATATAAGCTAGTCAAACTAGAATAGACCAATAAATAGAATATATGCCAGTAAGAAGTGAATAGTTAATATGAACTACAAACCCAGAGAGTAAGGCAAAATAAATGCGATTTTTTTTTGTAACAATAGAATTGTTACTTGAATGTAATGAACAAGCAGTAGTGAAAATAGTAAAATAATAAAAACATATACTAGAGGGTTTAAATGTTCATACGAATTGCCGTAATACGCCTATGAAGCGTGTTCATACCTTGGCATGATTAATCAGAAGTCCAACGAATGTGGAGACCAGCATGGAGCCGGACATAGAGTTTTTCCTCCGCATGTCCGGCTTTATAAAGGAGAACGCAGTCGCAGGTGGCTCCTCTGGTATTGTAACAGTATATGAATGTCGCATGCTGGGCATAATCAATAAAATCCTTCTGTGGTGTATAAACACCAACTTTAAGAAACAGCCACTATGGATGTTCTCGCATCAAATATTCCAGGATCCTTCAGGTAAGCGACTTGATCAGGAAACGACCTCTACATCTGCGCGAGGTAGCACTGGGTCGAATAAAAAAAAACAACGCGCGCTGACCGACTCACAACCAAAAAATGTTTCACAAAACCATAAACGAAGGAAGTTGTTCGCAACCGCAAAGAACAAGTCCCTCACGCGTCAAAAGACCATTGACTGCAGCGAGTAGAGCTGTCAGACTGCAGGCAGCACGCGGATCCATGTCTTTTCACTACTGCCAGAGCAGTCCCGCCCACACGAGCACTGCTGCACGCATCCAGGTGACCTGTTCTAAAATGCTATGAAAACAGCAGCACAAATTTTGGATGCTCTGATAATAAAAGAGCATGTGACGAGTGAGTGAAACTTAGCACTGCAAATCTCAGTTGCCAACATCCACACATAAATTTAAACACAGGAAAACACCAGAGGGACACTTTGTACTGAGAACAAGAATTTAGTCTTCACTGGGTTTCCTCTTTAAAGACCTCATGTGAAGAGAATAAGAAGTCCTGAGCCTTCAGCAGTCTCTGAGATACACTGCCAATAACCAAGTGCCAAAAAGGGCCCAAAAAAGGAGGCGGATGTTTCCAGTAGGTTTGAGCCTCATCAAAACAGACGTGAAACATTTTCAAAAGTTTTTTAAAAAGAGGGTATTTAGGTTAATGTTGTGGAACAGCCTACATACTAACAGATATGTTACATAAAAAATCTTGACGCAATGAGTAGTAGAAGTAGTAGAAAACGTGACAGGAATTGTTTACTCCTGGGCTACGGAAGTGCAAAGTCTCTCTGTTTGAGACAGACTGGCATCATTAATAAAACTGCTGAATAGAAAGAGTCAGACTGTGGCAGGGAAACTGTGTTAATGCTGGCCCAGCCATGCATGCAAAGCCTCTCAGTAACACTAACCTACCATCAGATGGGAAACCACAATACTTTAATGGTAGTCGGAGATGGGGCCAACTGTGTACCTACTGCAGCCTGTGCTTTTCCTCACACTGATAAAACTGATTTGGTCAGCAAAAATACTTTAGATAAACCAGAATAAGGACAGAATTATTAGGGCAGAAATATACACTGCACAAGTACACAGACACTGCAAGTGCGCAATAATGTGTGTTCTTGCATTACTGTGGTGGTAACAAACGTCAGTACTCATGGGGCTGATAGAGTTACCTTTAAATGTACCTGTGCCACTGCACTGGATCTGTTATGGATGTGTTAGCTATTCAGATAGCTAGAAACATGTTAACAGTTTAACGGTAACCAGTTAGCAGTTTTAGGGTTGTGCAATATTCAGAACTTAATTGAGAATGCATTTTTATTTTTAATACTCAAATTCAATTCCTCAATTAGAATTACATTTTTGTCGAGTTCCAAGAGATTCATATAACCCCGGTGTAAAAAGAAGAAAAAAAAAACTGTTCATTTCTTGGAAATGATTATTTTTTTATTTCAATTGAGTAAACTCCACTTCCTGTCATTCTCATTAATTGACTAATAAATTGAAAAAGAGCCAACTGTTAAATTCAAGATATGAAAACATAATAGAAAAACATAATAGAAAAGAGTTTACACTAATGTTCACTATAGCACCCCTTGTGGCAACAATGTGAATGCACTGCTTAAATGCACTGCTTTCCTATATTCTATAATTCACAACAGTAAAAAAAAAAGCATAATACTCTGCTCCATTACAACAGTAATAAAACTCCAGTCTGGCAATCTTGAACCCTTTAGAGTAGCGCTGAAAGAATTATAGTGCATATCTAATTCTTGCATTCGTCCACAGTAGCCTGGTTTAGCACAGCATAAATGGCCTGGGTATCTGGAGCATTAGTGTAATACTTAAATTGAGTTGACAAAAGCACTCAGACTTACACTTGTTGAGCTGATTAGTTTCTAAAATTCTCAGGTGTAAACTAATGTAGTCTAGACTAATCATTTTAAAGTTAGACAGACCTTACTGCTCAGCGCTGCTCTTTTAGCCTGGGCTCCCTTGTTGAGAATAGCTTGATTAATGACAAACAGCAATTAATTTAAAAGAATAGCCATAGACTGTATTCCACAGAGGGTTTTTTCCCTGCCTAAAACATATTATTCTGCAGTTTTAATACATTTTTGAGTACAAATGTCATAAATCAAAGAAATGTTAAAAACTACAGCTGATATTTTTTTAGTTAATTTGTCACACTGGAAATGAAAGGTCAAGTAGAGCACACTGCATTATGGGCTGCACGATTTGGGGGGGGGGGGGGGGGG